AATACTAAACTTGTAAATTGATTAACAAAAAAAAGGGGACAGGTTTTCCGAAGAAGACCTCTAGGTCATAATGAAAAATACGGTATTCACATTTAGAAAAAAGCAAGGAGTTCATAATTTTGAAGTTTCATTTCGATCGTACTACACGTTGCATTACTTACTGTGCAGTATTAATTACATGTTTTTTAAAACTTCAGTAGAAAGGGGTTTTAATATCCATAGATGAATAAATGATTATTCACATTATGCACATGAATATTACATCCAAACTAGTGAACATCCTACAACGAAAATAAAAATAAAAAATTACAATTTATTCACACTACGAACAGCTTACAACTATACCAGATAGTGAAGTTTAAAGTAATATTTTAAGTTTTTACTCAGTAATTAATTTTTGCTCAGTCAGGTGATCGAGCTCATGGCCAAGCTGGTTTTAAATGGTTACCGGAGCTCAACCACACTCACACCGCTAATGCCACTACCCATCTTGAGACATGATTCCTAAAGTGTCAGCTATATACTCGTAGCAGAACTTCTGCTAGACATCTACAACATTAATGCCACCATCTACCTTCAGACATGATTTCCAAAGTCTTAGTAATATAGTAAGTAGAGCGGTTGCCCCACGCGGTTTCGCGGCAGAAATAGGCAAGATGTTGGTATAGACTCGTGCGGGCTCATAAGACGCCCCTCCCAGTGAGCCTCCTACCTTTTTATATTCTCTGGCTTTAAGACATTAATATTTTTCTATATTCCTTTCTATATTCGTTGTAGAAATATTTATCACATGCTTTTTCGTGACTCGTGTTTTATGCTGTAAAGTAATCATTATTTCAGATTTTATGGGTAGAAAAACCGCTATTTGAGTGGCCTTCTGATATAGACCTCTTTTGAGCAGCGGAATTCATGTGTTCATTTTTCTTTTTGTGTTGTTTTTATTAATCACGACCATTACTACTATTATGGTAAAAAGTCATACGATGGGATCGTTTCAAAAAAATCCTCAGTGGTTGGCAAGAGCTTGGCTGTGCATTTGGCATTGCTGACGTCCATGAGCTGCGATAATTATCGCATGATGAGTAATTACTCATCATTTGGTGGGTGGTATACTGTTCTGACGAAGGCTTTAAAGAAATAGAGGTCGGATCAAAGAGTTCACTAAAACATAGATGAAAAATTTTTAATAGATGGCTACCTCAGATCAAATCTAATTCTATTCCATCTATTTTCTATTCTATCAAATCTAATTCTATTCTATCAAATCTATTTTCTCAAACGTATTTCATAACTACATTTTTTTAAATTATAATGATGAATTGAATTTTGATGTTTTGTATGAGCTCGTTATCTTTAGTAAATTTTATATCTATGGCGACATTATTATCAAGAGATATATAAAAATACATTGAGTGTTTTGTTAAATATTTTTGATTAATTTAACACGATACTAAATACTTGTCCTGCAGGTTTCAAAATCCAATCGTAGTGTAACTAAGATATTGTGTTTTAGTTCAGATCAGTCGTTAACTTATGACGTTACACTGTTGTGTTTAATTAGACTCTTTTGTTTTTAGAAAATATTTTTATTGGTAATTGGTAGTTTTCTTAATTCGATTTCATTAACAGGGAAAATGAAAGAATATGTAAAGTAATTTAATTTATTATTGAAAAAATGCTTTGTTATTGTTAATACTGAAAAGGTTGAAATTTTCGAAATTATCCGCTGTTTTTCGAGTCTTGGTAGACCTCGTGTCCGGCAGCTCCTACGCCTATTGCGGTAAGTCCATGTTTCTGAAAAATATTAAAAGTATAAGTATGATCAGTACGATACAACCTGTTACGATGTAAAGAAAAATATCAAAAGTATAAGTATGATCAGTACGATATAACCTGTTACGATGTNTGACACTTTACAAAACTTGCATAAGGCCCGTCATGACTTACACGAGTGTGGTGTTCGCTCACGCGGCCCGCACACACATAGACACCCTCCAATCTCTAAAATCCCGCTTTTGCAGGTTAGCCGTCGGAGCTCCGTGGTTCGTGAGGAACGTTGACCTACACGACGACCTGGGCCTCGAATCTATCCAGAAATACATGAAGTCAGCGTCGGAACGGTACTTCGATAAGGCTATGCGTCATGATAATCGCCTTATCGTTGCCGCCGCTGACTACTCCCCGAATCCTGATCATGCAGGAGCCAGTCACCGTCGACACCCTAGACACGTCCTTACGGATCCATCAGATCCAATAACCTTTGCATTAGACGCCTTCAGCTCTAACACTAGGAGCAGGCTTAGGGACCTCGGTAACCGTACTCGTCGAACTCGACAAAGAGTTCGCCGTGCAACCTAACCCATGAATAAGCTCGCTGAGTTTCTCGCCGGATCTTCTCAGCGGGTCGCGATTCCGATCCGGTAGTAGATTCATTCGCGAAGCAGCTACTCTTGAGCTGTTAGGTCTCCTTCGGAGGCGCTCGGGTAGCTGTTAGCAAATCCCACCCCTCCTGGCTGAGACTTTGCTCGCCCACCTGTCCTGGTGAAACTGGAAAGGCCTCCGGGCCACCAGTAATCGTTCAAGCATAAAAAAAAGTGTACGGAGCTATGAGATGTTCTCTTTTAGAGGTTTGCGGAGTAGTCAATGGTAGGCACTGACTTCAATGTGTGTACGGCATTGCTGCTGACGTCAAGAGCGAGAGTGACTACTAACCATTAGGTGAGTCGTATGTTCGCATGTTCGTATGGCCATGTATGCTGTAGAACTGACGATCGCTGGAGCGGACGGGTTCTCGAGTGGAGGCTGCGCAGCGAATGACGTAACTCGGGACGCCCCCTAGCTAGGTGGAGCGATGGCCTCCGAACGGTGGCCGGCAAGAAGTGGATGAGGAGAGCCGAAGACCGGGCTCAGTGGTGTGGATTGGGAGAGGCCTATGTCCAGTAGACGTGTGGGCTGATGATGATATCGGCCTGCATAAAAATACTATTGTTGGTTTTTGAGTCCCTAAAACACCTTGGCCCACGGTCTGCTCCCAGGATCGTGCCCCCTGGGCGCGGACACCTCGTGTGAGGTTCGGCTCCTGACCGAAAACAAATGGTACATTCGGCCGGAAGATCGGATATTAACTTATCTCATAACACATTATTGAATAGAGCTCTTCTAAAACTCGTCTGGAGCTCATTCAACAAGAACATCGTTTAGCTAATTCGGGATGCCCTTCCACCGCTGAATCGGCAAGAAACGCAAGTCTTGCTCTTTTAAAAATGTTATTACTTATATATCTTAAAAAAAATAAGGATTTAAAAAAACGTACTTGAATTACTGAACACCGGCTAATCATCAAGTCAGTACCTACTGATGTTGCTGTGTGGGGAAATTTCAAACCCCCATCGTTTTATTATTTGAAACCATGAAGCGTCGTATCTCTTAAAATATTTGGCGACTTTGTTGTAATAAATTTTAGGCCAAGGAACGAATTATCAAATTTAGACTATAAAGTTAAAATTTTGCCGAAATTCAAAATGATTGAGAAGAATCTCAGAACAGACCGTGACCGTGTCCGTTATTTTTTGTATGCGTAATGAAATAAAGAAAATGTACCTAATTTAATTAAAGTAATTTTAAACTGATTACGTTCGATTTTTGTTATGATTATTCGGCTTCGACTATAATCAAGTCCCATCCTTTTAAATATGTTTTTATATATTGTCGGGACTCGGAAAGCGCCTTTCAAACCAACGGAGCAAGAGGTGAGAAAGAAATATTCTTAACTCTTGCAGAGGGCTTTCCAGTAATTGCTTAATTTGATATTGGTCGTTTTAGGTTAGTTTAGTTCTGAGTTTAGTAGTGAAAACAGTTTTCTGCCACGCACAGTAAATCTCTGGAATTCGTTGCCATCAGCGGTCTTCCNATATATTGTCGGGACTCGGAAAGCGCCTTTCAAACCAACGGAGCAAGAGGTGAGAAAGAAATATTCTTAACTCTTGCAGAGGGCTTTCCAGTAATTGCTTAATTTGATATTGGTCGTTTTAGGTTAGTTTAGTTCTGAGTTTAGTAGTGAAAACAGTTTTCTGCCACGCACAGTAAATCTCTGGAATTCGTTGCCATCAGCGGTCTTCCCCAACAACTGCGACGTTGGGTTATTGAAGCAAAGAGCATATTCTTACCTGAAGGGTAGGCAACGCACTGGCGTCGCTGGTGACCGTGGGCGGCGGTGAATCACTTACCATCAGGTGACCCGTCTTGCTCGTTTGCCTCTTAGCTGTTATAAAAAAAAAAAAACTCGGTGCCGGGGACGGAGCCGCGGGTTGGAGTAAGGCGTTCATCCAGCTCTGGCCACTGCGAGGAGGCAGTCTCTTCTTGGGGATACTCACTTCAGCAGTGTAAAAATTATAATTGTTCTCATTAAAAAGCTAGAAATTACGCTATTGAACTTTTGGATGAAGGATTGATCAACACAAAAGATAATAGAGTCGGCTAGGTGTTGACCCCGACCCTACTATCTAAAACAGAGATTCAACCTACTGGCCGTAGGACGCCTGTTCCGTTTGCTCGGGAAGGTCTTCAACTGACAGCCCAAATGTCAGGCCGTCGGAACTTGAATTTATGCAAACCTATCTTGAAAATCTCGTTAGCGAGATTCAGACATTTATCCAATAACTTGTATTCTATAATATTCATCCGCTACATGTACCACCGCCATGCCTATTTCCATCGCATCGCGAAGCAGTAATACGTCTCGGCTTGAGGAGGGGGGGGCGGGCAACCATTGTACTTCCTACTTGGAACTTGGAACTCATGTCTGAGGATGGATGGTGACATTTACGTTATTGATGTGTATAGGCCCCGATAACCACTTAACGGCAGGCCATGATCTCGTTTACCCATCTACGCATTAAGGGGTGCGTGAAGGGTCAATTGGTTGTTTAAGGATATTTTAATAACAAAAACTAAAAGACAAATAACATTTTAATTAAATTATTTAATGGTATATTAAAATGTACACATGATTCATCATTAATCAACCATGATCTAAACGCACTGGGTGACACATAAGTATTTGAAATAAAATAAAAATGATATTTTATTTACTAAGTGCACCCTAAATATAATATATTGCGTAGCCCTGGTATATATAATACACATTTTCTATGAACACTGAAAATAAGGCGCATCTAACAAAGTAAATAGACGAGAGAGCACAGTCGGTGGGACAGTACTAAGCACTGAAGAGAGGCTGGGGGTATCACTCATCATCATTGGAGATTGTGTGGATCGCGGTAGTCTTGTTACGATTGATTTCAACATACACGGGCACATATCCGGGCGGTCGTTGCCTGATGCTCTGGTCGTCCCGGGAGCGCGTCCGCAGGGAGGGGCCGCTCGCGCTCTGCTTCGTGCTCCTGTAATGTCCGTTCAACAGCGGCACGTACGTCCAGCGCGGCGTGCTCTCCCCAACATCTGTTGTGGACGGGTCCGTCGTAACTTTCGTGATATTTTCATTTTTTAGTTTGATGATAATAATTTCCTTCTCTTCGTCGGGAGGCTGACTTTGCCCGCGAAAAGCCTTTCTGGTATTTGCGGCAGCAGCCTCCTCGATTTTATATTTTTGTAATTGAATACCGTATTGCTCAGGTACCTTTGCGTCTTCATGACTGAATCTGAGCACTTCTGTAGGTCCAGTCCAGGGTGTCACTGTGGACTGGTCCCGTTGAGTCTCACTCGTATCCAAGGACGGCATAATATTCAATTCAGTAACTTTTGGCCCCGGCAGTGTTGTCGCTCTTCTCTCGGCTTCTGGAACTATTCCGGAACTACCTATGTGGAAGTCATTGACTTGATGGGTCGACAAGGTGATGGTTGTTGGAACTGCCGTCGTCGTGGGCGTTGGCTGGGTCATATCTTGTGTTGCAGGATCAATATTGAAATCTTTTAGCAGTGTGTTTTTCATTTGTGTATCTTTGGGATGCACGTTTACGTGAAGTATAATATTTGTGCCGATGCTGATACTGGGATCGACATCTGCTACTAGTTGGGTTTTGTTTGCGTCCCTGCTTTGCATAGATGCTATTTTATTAGTTGAATAAATGTCTTTGTGCTTGTATAAAACCCGCGGTTTCCTTCGGACAAAAGTGCGCGGAACAGAGATAGTCGGCTTCCTCTTGAACTGAAAAATGGGCCGTGATGTAGTGATGTAAAGAGTGTCTAAGTTAGAAAGTTGTTTAGCTGTAGCGTCTTCAGCACGCACCTCTCCCTTTGTCTTTGCGCTGAGCGGAAACAAATTAAGTATAACACTGAATGAGTCGGCGGCAGTAGATGATGCGTTGTCACCTCGTGTTGTGTTTTGGTTTTGAATTTTGGTATTGTAATATCTTTTGCTGTTGAAACTTTTTCTAACAATCGGAGTTTTATTAGAAGTTTCTACAGATTTTTGGAATTGCCACGGAGAAAACCTAAAGAAAGCGTCAGCTAGAAGATTTACTTCTCCGGGATTTTCCGGTTTGAAATTGAACAAAGGATCAGGTTGGTGATTGGATTTTTTTATTTCAACCATCGTCGAATCTTGTGTGATTAAGTCTTTGCTTCTATGAGAATTTTGATTATCCAAGCTGTGCTCCATGTACACACCGGTGAACGCGACCGGCGCGCCGCCCGGCTTCGTGTACGAGTACACATCCCCAGACTTAGCATTAATAGTTTTTTCCAAGTACTTTATAATTTGTCTGATGTTTTGCAATCTTTGTGCATTGCGATATTTTTCTACCCAACTCCTGGAGCCATACGTCTTGCTGTATGGGAGAGGAGTCGAGGTTCTGTATTCAAATAAAAAAGGTCTCGGACTGGTTCTTCTAAAGGCGTTCTGCCTGTAATTGCCCACAGTGGAGGTCGGTGGCCTGACGTTTCCGTGGATCTGGTTAGCTGTTTTTGACGCCGGAATAAATTCAACGGCAGGGTCGATATAACTGTTTTCTTGGAGGGCGTTGACTAGTAGCGGCATTCGTTCGTAATAGTCTTGATCAAATCCGAAGTAGCTTTGGTCGAGTCTGTCGGCCATGGGGTGCTCGGAGGCCATGTATTTTATGTCCTCAGTTTTTGGATTTTGTATTGTAGTCCATTCTACAGCAATTATATGTTCATAAATTAGTATTGTAACCTGCAAAACACATTCAATAATTTACAGTTGTTCACTATTAACCAGTTCGAAGTTACTTTTCAGTAAATGTCAAGCTATTGTATAGATTTTAACGCGGGCCTTGAGCGCGACTTGAGAGCGAAATCTTGAAATTCCGTAACGAAAAAAACCTTCCACCCCTCACTACGCCTACTATGTAGCTCTCGTTCAACGCATTCACACGTTGCGCTTGTGTAGTGTTTAAAGTAAGAAGTCTAAATACCGATTTATGTACTATCAAAATATGTAATATAATTTCGTGGGTAACACAACGATAGCGCGATTCAGCTTTTGCGTCAAGCGCCATCTATCGGCGACAAACGGAATTGTAAAATAGAAAATTATATCACATTACAATGCGTTGGGCGTGCCATTTTCTATCGCTTAATCGAAGAATTTTATTACTACTCCTACTACTCATTTAGTGATTGGAGTGGCATTAAAAATAAACTAGCTAAACCGTTGATTCTGGGCGAATGAGAGTTAGAACTAGCATCCAAAGGCGTGTCTCTATCCCATGTAGCGCCCTCTAGTGAGTGCGCGGTCAAAATGGAATACTCACAATGTAGCAGATTCATTTAAAGTTAGCCCACTGATTTTCTCGCCGGATCTTATTTTATTGTTGTTTTAATATTAAATTATTATTGTCGATTTATAATTGCATAAGTTGATAAAAAATGCTATGCTATGCGGCTTTACCGCCGCAGTCTCCGAGTGCCACACGTCTTTTTTTTTATGAATTTGAATGTTTTCAATAAAACGCTGTATTTCATCATACACTGCAAAGTTTACTTTACAACATAAAATTGAAATATTAAGAATTCAAGAAATCATAAACATTATTGTTAACATTATCTACATCAAAGTCTGTTTGTTCGTCACGTTTCCATTCTCTCTGTATCTCTAGATAAGCCGGCTTGTCGTGTGGTATCATTGAACTGTATGTGGTGGACAAATTGAGAAGAGTTGCATTAGCTCTGTCGTTGTCCACGAGTACTTTAGGTGCTGTTATATTATTAGTATTAAGAATTAGCTTGAAGAAGTCGTTCTCTTGAAATTCATCGCGCCCAATGAAGTTTTCTTCATCAACTACAACATTATCCCAGCTCAGGATTTCCTCTACGGTGTAAAAGTCCCCCCGCCCGTCGGCTGCTGCCAAAGTAGAGTTTTTGATGAATGTTTTGATGTTATAGAATTTAGTTTCATTGCTTTGATTAGAATTAGCTATTTGATAGGTCGTACTGATAACTTGAAATTTTGGATCGTTGTGTTCGCTATTAAAGCTTTCTTTCACTGTAACATTGTTGATGTTTTCTGTCGTATGGTGGCTATAAAGTATTGATTTTCTGGTCGATGAAGTTATATTTTTGTTTTCTGCAATGGGATCATTTTTATTTCGTCCTGGGTACGTTGGAGCTTTTTGAATTCCCTCATTTATTATTTCTGTTTTTTTAACATGCATTTTGTGATTTTCATCGTACGTTAGTTTATTTTTCATTAAACTTAAAGTATCGTCCACAAAATCCAAATTTGTAACTGCTCGTGTTGGATTAAAGTATTCTTCGTATTCTTCTGTACTGAGCTTAGAATCTTTTTGATAAGATTCGTTCAAAACTTTGCGAACGGCGGAACTTTTTGGTTTATATGCTTTTTTATCAGAATGCATAAACATCTCAGACGTTGCAGTTTCGTGAGTAGAAGGAGTTGCAGCTCCAGTGCGGCCAGGCGTGGTTACTCTCGGGTGATTCTGTTTGTGATGGGTACTTTGCTTCTTAGTAACCTTCAGTACTGGAGTGGCAATTGAAGTTTGAGGATCATTATGTATCCTGTTGTCACCGCTGAGCTGTTGTTGGTTTATGTTATTTTTGTCTTTAATTTCATTTGGCCACGAAATATTTGTCGCGGGTAAGCTTGGCANAGCTCCAGTGCGGCCAGGCGTGGTTACTCTCGGGTGATTCTGTTTGTGATGGGTACTTTGCTTCTTAGTAACCTTCAGTACTGGAGTGGCAATTGAAGTTTGAGGATCATTATGTATCCTGTTGTCACCGCTGAGCTGTTGTTGGTTTATGTTATTTTTGTCTTTAATTTCATTTGGCCACGAAATATTTGTCGCGGGTGAGCTTGGCACTTTATTAGTTTTATTTGTGTTCGTGGCCTGACTAATAAGTCTGAGACTCTCAATAAGTTGTCCTTTAGGTCTCAATTTATTTTTTGTTTCTTGAGAATTACATGATTGTGTTATGGCTTTTAAATGTGGTACAACTTGATTTAAACCTATTATAAGTTTGCGCAAAAGTAAATCAATTTTCTCCAAACAGAGACAGTCAGAAGTTTTTAGGGTATCTCTATAGCCATGTTCATCAGAATTTCGTTTTATATCTTGTCGTTTATGGTCTCGGAGCGGTGTCTTGAACTTCTGAAAATCCCTTTTCACTAATGAAAGAGTGTCAAAATTTGCTCTATCGCTGATCATTTTATGAAAATAATTGAATATTCTCTGATAGTCCCTTATTTTCTTATATTTTGTGTAGTATTCGGTGGTTTTCATTGGATGCCGGTAGTATGAAACGGGTAACGTTTTTGGTTTAGCTGTGTAGAGAAGTTTGCCCTGTGTCTTCTCAAGATACTCGCGCGGGGTCATCGTGCCATCATAATGCCCGTTCATGTCGTCTTCGTTGATGTTTGAATTATTGTTACTTGTTTTAATGGAATTATTCGTTAGCGCCTTCAATAGCAGTGGAAGAAGTTTGACAGTTGCTTTATCAGATACAAATGTAGTGGGTAGGGGATCGTCGAGGCTCTCTGCGGCGTTGTTATTGAAGCCCAGCCACTTTGGGTTCAGCATAAAGTTCTTGCTGTTGTTCCTTTGAGGATGCAAACTGTACTCGTACACGAGAAGTACCGTCTGTAATTTAAAACGTCTTATGAAATTTCTGATTGAATTTTAAATTAATTTAATTACAATATGAATGAAGCAACGTAAAACATGTAAAATGTAAACAATAGCTGTATTTGGGTTAGTGGATGAGAAAAAACGGTGCGCGTGCAACTTGATGCACGTGAATGAAGTGAAACTTCTTTTTCGATGCACATTATTGTGGTTTTCTTCATTTTTCATCCTTAAATCAGATTGCTCTTGTAATAATAATATATATTTTAATACTTCCTTAAAATATTGGACGCTACTCGTTGCTAGCGCTCGTGCTGGCCTGTAACAAGAATACTACGCCCATGCGTTCGAGTGCCACGCATTCACTTTCGCTCTGTTTCTTTCTATTCCATGGTAGCGTTAAACGTTTAACGCAACCTTGTTGGAAGTCGCATAAGAAGTTTCACTTCAAACACAAAGATCAGGATTGTACTGTGACCGGACTTTGTTACCTGCTCGTGTACGAGTAGATTAAATACATTAGCAGCCCGGAGTTATCGCAACACGCCGTAGTGCCGTTAGCCACCAGAAATCTGTCAAGCGCAACTATCCATCTTTATAACCCGCTTGTCACTATTATAAGTTTTTGATCAACTACTTTTGTAGTTGTGCTTTTACTAGATAAACTATTCTTACAAAAAATACGGATTAAGTCACATACGAATGTTCACCTTTAACATTTCTAGGTTATCACCTATCAATACCAATGAAATAAACACAAGCTTCGTGTTACCATCTCAGTCCATTCTTTAATTCAATGTCGATATTTACGACTTAGTCTTCAGGCTTCAGGCAAATATACAAATATACATAGACATAATTTAGATATTGGAGGACAATGTCCCCGCACTAGTGGCAGCCACCCAGACGATCCCCCTGCCCTGTCCGAGTGAAGCCCAGTTTTATACATGTATAGTTTACATTGCAGATTCCCGGGTGATAATGTGGTGCATGGGAATTATATCTTATAGTAGAAATAACTAGTCAATATGCATAATACTGATCCGGCTTAGTATTATAACATAACTTAATATTATAAGTACCTAATAAAAGATAAAAAGTATCTATAGGTACGAGAGAGATAGAAACAGTAGGTATTTGCCATCTCGGTATTTGTCTTGGGTTGAGCATTTCTATGTTAATCAATATGCGGATTCGCTGATTTAGGCTAAATTCATATGACCGCGCGCGCGGTGGAAGCATTCACACGACAGAATATGTACGCGCGACAGTCTGGCATCAACTTTGAGGAATGGACGTGGAAGAGGCAATTTGCTTATGGATTTTATACCGAAAACTGAGACGTCGGAGAAGAAGACAAAGACGATACTGGGTGCATCTTGTTCTAAGTGAAATACTTTCTTTTTTTGTAACTTTAGATCCCCACCTGAGACTACACGAAGAATTTTTTTTAACTAGTTTAGAATGTCAGTTGCACCTTTAGATTTTTTATATGATAGCGTTGAAAACTGTAAATGTCGATACAGTTTTGAGAACTTGTAGCTCGCGCGGTACAAGAGCCTGCGCGAAGCTCGCCGTGCCGCGTGGTGTCGCGTGGTGCCGCGTGGTGCCGCGTGGTGCCGCGTGCTGCCGCGTGGTGCCGCGTGGTGCGTGGTTATGTGAACAATACTGAACAATAAACACTGTTTAGATTGATTTGTACCGCGCGGAACTACTTACCGTGCGGTCGTATGAACTTAGCCTTAATTTGTTCCAGTTTGAAGTGTCCGAGGGCTTCGCTCCACGCGATGTGCTGTACTACAGCGGTGACTATTTTTATTTGATAGTGTATATAGTTATGTCGAGCTTCTGAGAGTTTATTAACAAACAGCTCGTTTTACTTCCCAATTATTGAAGCTCGATCACACTTGGTTTATTTTATGTTCTTTTGTATTTTACATATATAACTTTCCTCCATCCGTCAGTGCAATAAAAAATACAAATAAAAGATCCATATTCAGGCAGCGAAATTGAAGAGTTTGTAGGAAGTCTATGTGCTAGGGGTGCGCGGGACTGAACTCCAAACTCGCATTAGTCACGGTCGGAGGTGTCACCTTATTACGAAGCGCATCATTTACAACGAAGGCAGCGTTTACAATGAATCCATTTTTGTAACAATCCCTGACGTTTGGTTTTAATTGCACAGTAAAAAAATTGCTTGTTATATTTTTAGAATAACGCGTGTGATCGCACGTGCTATCCGATCTCTCCGCCGCGCCCTTTATACGAGTATTATGAGCACAAATCAGGATACGTATCACATCTACAATTATCAGGTATATACCTAGTCAGGTCATAAATTCTGTCACATGTTTAATGTAAAATAATTTAAACAAGTTTATTCATTATGTAACCATTTATGTACCAAAATGAACTTAACAAAACATAGATTCTTATGACACTAAAGTTTATTCAAAGTGACCTCCGTGATTTTAAATACAGGCCTTCAATCTGCGCGGCCAGTCGTCTATCGCAGCACGAACGAGGTCCATGTCAATATCGGCGGCTGCCTTAATCAAGGATGTCTTGAGTGACTCCAAATTGGGATGAGGCTTTGAGCACGCCTTTTCCTCCAAGTGTTGCCATATCTTGTAATCTAACGGATTCAAATCTGGACTGGAGGAGGGCCAGTCTTCGTGCCGGATGAAGTCGATTTCACGCGCCGCCAGCCAGTCTTGTGTGCTCTTCGCTCTATGAGCTGGCGCCGAATCTTGTTGGAATACCCAGTGCCTGTTATTGAACATGGTATGAGAAACAGGTTCCACAAGGTTCGTCAGGACTGTATTTTGATACACAACTGCATTCGTTTTTACACCTTTCTCACAAAAATGTACCTCTGTTAAGCCCCAATAAGAAACTCCCAACCATACCATGAGCGAGGATGGAAAATGACCTCGTTGGACACGCGGAATACGGTTGCTCGCTTCTTCACTACTGTGTGCGTACACCTTATCATTTTGTTTGTTGTAGCTCTCTTCTACGGTAAAAATTTTTTCATCCGAAAAAAGAATTTCCCGATATTTTTTTCCCGCGTACCGCTTCAACAAAGCGCGGCATCTCTTCAGTCTCAGGTCCATTAGACGAGCATTCAAACGATGTCCTGTTTTTCTTCGATATGCCCGAAGCCCTAAGTCTTCATTTAACACCCTTTTCACCGTGGTTCTGCTTAACCCCATCTGAAGGGCCAACAGTTTCTGCTTACGTTTGGGATTTCTTTGAATTCGCGCCTTCACAGCTTTTATCACTGCTGGAGTCCTAACAGACCGAGGGCGACCACTTCTTGACCTGTCATCTACACTAGAGTCTTCATTGTATCGTTTGATGGTACGATAAACGAATCTTTTGGTTATATTCAAATTTTTCAGTATGTTAAAAATTTGAATTGGCGCGTAACCGCAACGATGCAACGCAATAACTGCAACACGGTCTTCTTTAAGCGTCCACTCCATATTTAAAAATGAGTAAAATTCTAAAAGTATACATTTTTATTTTCATGAACAATTCGAAATTCGAATTCAATAAACTTTTTTGTGGCCAGCATTCTAAAAGAAAAGTTTTTACTGTGTGACAATACTTATGACCTGACTAGGTATATATGCAGATGCGACAAACGAAGCGAACGCGTGCCACCTAGTGGATGCGAGCCGCAACTACTCGTCAAACATCAAATGGTGTGCTTCAGCAGAGTCCAAGTGTCATCGCTCGGGTTGAATCGAAGCACATTCGTCGCCTGACTTAGAAAGAGTGGAGACGTGATGGAACTGTCCACCGATCCAGCCGGACACAGTGTGGTGGTCAACGCTGCGATTGGATCGTCTGATCACTGCCTTATCCGCGCTGCTATTCCACTCTCTCGTCCTGATCGTCAAACGACGACCGTGTGTCGAAGAGTTAGGTTGTATCAAACTGGGATGGATTGCGTGAGCTTTACGCATTCTACCCATGGAGATGACTCTACTTTCCTCTGGTGATTCTGACGTCTGTGCGGACCGACTTAAATACGTAGTGCTTCAGGGGATGTAATTGTTCAAACCTTCCTCTAAGTTCCTCTTGGAGGTCGCAGCAGACCCTGGTATAATAACGCCAGTAGGGACACTGCATACCTCAAGCGATCCGCATACACGGCATGGGATGATGCGTCAGGACAGGAGAGGGGAGGACCCTAAAGTCTCAGAGGAAAAGCGGAAATTCAAGGCCGCTTCTAGATCCTATAAGAGGGCTAGGCGAAGTCGGAGCAAGTTACTAGAATTGGCTCAGCTCAGCTGGCGATCTTCTTGTATACCTTACTCACAGGTGGGCTGAAGTTTTGGNACCTCAAGCGATCCGCATACACGGCATGGGATGATGCGTCAGGACAGGAGAGGGGAGGACCCTAAAGTCTCAGAGGAAAAGCGGAAATTCAAGGCCGCTTCTAGATCCTATAAGAGGGCTAGGCGAAGTCGGAGCAAGTTACTAGAATTGGCTCAGCTCAGCTGGCGATCTTCTTGTATACCTTACTCACAGGTGGGCTGAAGTTTTGGAGAGCCAGGACGAGGCTCTCGCTGTAAGCCTGGATATCGCGAAGGCCTTCGACCGGGTCTGGCATAGGGCACTTCTGTCGAATTTGCCATCTTACGGAATCCCCGAGAGACTGCAAGTGGATCGCTAGCTTTTTAGATGGGCGGAGCATCAATGTCAGGCAGTTGTTGCTCCGATACCATGACCATTAACGCTGGCGGTGCTCTCCCCCACGCTTTTCATCCTGTATGTCAATGACATGGTTAAATCTAATACGCAACTGTCAAAGTACCCGAGTGCACTTTCAAACGGTACGATAATATAGAAATATGCTACCTCAGAAAATTTTAGAGGTTTTGTTGTAGAAAGAGGGACATGCTTCATTTTCTTTCTTTCTTGCCCATTAAAATCGTCTTTACCACAGACTCCTTGCTCTTATCAGTGCCATCATTTAGCCGTGTTGTGTAACGCTTTCACTAAAATCGAATATCGCAACAAATTTGAATTTGTCTGTAATGTCCCTATTAAATCTTTTAAGGATCATTTAATTTAATTAAAATCATTACACAGTAAAAATATTACACAGTAGTATACAGTTAATTATGAAATAGTGTGGATCCTGCCTGTACTTCAACTGTTTAGCGCGGCTTCTGAATGACTGGCTACTTTTTTTTTTTGGAACGAAGTTTTTTTTTATTGCTTCGATATGAGGACGAGCTCACAGCCTACCTGGTGTTAAGTGGTTACCGGAGCCCATAGACATCTACAACGTAAATGTCGCCACCCACCTTAAGATGTGAGTTCTAAGTTCTCAGTATAGTTACAACGGCTACTCCGCCCTTCAAACCGAAACGCATTACTGCTTCACGGCACTTGACATTAAAACATAATGAAGGAAATGTGAAACATTTGGAGGTTCTTTTCTGGATATGGTGTTGGACTTATTAAACTGATAGAAAGAAACATGGATTAACTCCAATAAAAAAAAATATACAGGAAGAAACAATGTTACCTTATTCTGAGGACATACTTCCCGATGTTTGGACATTCCAACACGATAATGATCCAAAACACATGTTACGCACACACCGTTAAGGAATTTCTCACATCACAACACACGACGCATCGCACGATGAAAAAGAAATCAGTCAAATTGATTTTACCGCTCCCTTGCAGTGCTTCGTCATATACGTAGCCCAGGAGTAGCAGAGCAAGGTCGAACCGAGTTGTCGGGTCGAGAGTTGTGGTGCAAACACCAAATCGACGCGCGCATCTAGGCTATTTAGTGCTCACATCAGTTTGGTACATAAATACATACAAACATTAAGCAGTTAGTCCAACAGTTGCCGAAAAGAAGTCCCACATTGAGGAAGAGTTGGCGGTACTCACTACGACGAGGGTAACGGTGACGGCGGCCGAGAGCGCCGCACACGCGCAGCCCTGGCGCAGCTGGCGGCGCTTGGACAGCCGCAGGAACTCCTCGGTGCGGGCGTCGATGGTCCGGTAGAGGCCGAGCTCCCGCAGGCGGGACCCGCCCGACATCACCGATCCTTCGCTCGACATCTTCGCATCACTGTCCGTCGTCGAATGTTGCTTGTGTGTTTGTCCAGCTCGTCCGCGAGGCGATATGCAATTGTAGCATGTTACGCCGCCGCGCCGTTTCCTTTGAGATTGTCGGTATGTGACACTAGGGATGGGACACTTCTTTGTGGCTGTCGATGATCACACTGAGTGAAGTCAATCTATTATTTGCTTTCCTCTCAGGAACCTATTCAGGAGCATTGACACATATCCGTATGTTTTTTTTTCTTAGTTATTTAAAAATTAAATTCTACGCTACATGGCCACGTTATATGAACGTTTTTTTAAAATAAATATTCACAATTAATATTATTATATTTTTTTGCTAATTGGGTTGATATCAAAATTAAAAGAACAAATCGTAATAAAGAATAAATTAAATACATGTTTTTGTTCTTTAAAAAAATCATTCCTGAAGAGATTAAATATGAAAAACGTTACTTGAATATTTTGTGGTAGACCAGCATACGGTCCATTTGATGGTGAGTGGTAACCACAGCTCATGGTCGCTACTGATTTCAGGGACGCAGCCAAGCCGCTGAGTACTCTTCGGTAACCATGTTTGAAGAAAGAGCTATCTCCTTCTTCTTCCCCTTGATAAAACTACATTACTAAAACGAGATGATGGGATCATCTCAAAGAATTCCTTAGAGCATTCCTCATGAAGTATATAGTACAAACACAGAGAATCGAAATTCTTCCGTAGATCCGCTTGGACACCGCCTTACAGGGCACATTCTCGTTGGGGCTAACTGATCCTAAGCACCCTACACGATAGCTCTGTTCCGAAGAACATGTCGAAACGTTGCACAGGCGTTCGACAAAGACTGACGCCGGCTGTACAGGCTCGTCGAGACACCACGAGCCCGCGCAAGGACGAGTGTGTACACGGCAACCTCGTCTCGTCTCGCGGCTCTCGTTCTCTCTCGGAAGCGTGTCGGATTTTGCGCTTGATTCCATTTACATGATAGCCTGACGCAGTCACCTGAGTTCAAGTTTGTTTGTCGTGTGCCCGTGTGATCTTGTGCTCGTGTCTTCGTGCGTCCCGTGTCTCATCTCTAGAGCAGCGAGCCGCGAGCATGCGTGAGTGTCGGAGCGTGTCGCGTCGCTCGGTGAAAACACACCGATTATACGCAAATGAGTGAACGGAGCGCGCGCGGTCGTCGCGGACACAACCACTAACTAAAAAATAAAAATTAGCGGCCGTAATCGACTCGAGAAACTACTTTGCTCAATTACTGCTGTTCATATACTATACTATTAGTCTTGTATAGCTGAAACATTGCCAATAGTTTCATAACTAATGGTAAGATTCATGTCTTGCCCGTTAAACAGGGAATAAATGAATCGTCCTTACTTATTCGAGTATGAGAACCGTGGAGTGTTAGGTTCATATGTAACAGTACGTAGCGGCTCGAGTGAGCTGCCTCCACATAGACCCGCCGCCATCAAGCCAGTGGCAAGAGGGCTTTTGTCCATCTCTGGCGCCTGGTTCTGGGTGAGCGGAGAGGACCATGCCGCGCATTAGCTAACGCACTCTAGCGCGCCACGAAGAAGACACTAAAGAGCGTTAGCTTGTCGATTTGACGCATTCAGATCCGGCAAGCTAGCTTTGGTCTAACGACGTATTCGGGAACGCTGGCGACCTGATGGGGCAGGTCATGATAGCCGACGAGTCGTTTTGGTCAATGACTCCGATGACTAGGCAGCCTTGAGGTAACGGCGTGTCTGGTTGCATTGTTGACTGCGGTCTCTCTTCCTACCTCACCTGGCTCTGTCCTGGGCAGGGTTTAGTGGTTTGGTAGAGAGTGCAGCTTAGAGAGTGCAATGCAGAGAGGACAGCTCTACAAACTTCATCCTCTTAAATATTAGTGATTACGCTACAAGTTTTTATTTGTACTCCACGACCAAAGGTTCAAATAGTTTATAATAATAGGTATTAGATCTTTACCTATGAAGTTGTCGTTACTGGCCATTTAAAACGTACTTAATGTAACAACTTTTTGGCAACGAAAAAATACCCGAGAGACAGCACAAAATGCCGTAGAAAAGTTTATTGGTTTCCGTACACATGACTTCTTGAAGAAGGTCATCGAAAAATTACCGCTGTGCTCGCAGATATGCATCGTGCCGTGGGTGCATATTTTACCGACAGAAATAATTTACAATTATTAAAAAATCTCTTTAACTTCTGTATAGTAAACGGAAATTTCGTAGGTGTAGGCCAGTATTGTACATCGGGTTAAAACCGGATTGCGTTCATGAAATAAGTAAAATATACAATAAATATTTTTTCAATTTTTATTTTTTTTATTTATAACAATATCTAGTTAAGGCAGTGTCTTTAAACATTGTTGTTGTGAGTATTTTCGTTACTTCCACAATAAACTAAATTTAACTAAACCTAGTTCTCGGTAACCACAAAACAGTACAAACCCTAATTACAATATAAAATACATAAAATGATAAAGTAAAACAATAACAAATATCCGACTTTTCGCACATTAGTACCGAGCCTGGTATCACAATGTTATGGCAACTCAGAAGCAATTAACGCAACGGCCCGTCACATCAAAACGTTACAATAATTATCAAGCTATTCATCACATCACTAACTCTTAACCAGAATCATGGGTCGCCCCGGACAATCAAACTCTAACAATACTCTAATGCCCAAATGTGGGGTCCTAACCTATTATATGGCACCCGGAGTAGGCCGAAGGTAACATTCGACTGATGGTTGACGCTTCAAGTGTACTGAAAGGAAGGCACGACGTCGGGTCCAATGAACGAGAAGTCGGTCAACTCCCTCGGTCAGTCTATTAAATGCTTCAGGGAAACTGTCCAAACAGAACTTTGTTCAGTTTCTAGCAGAAGTCTGCCTTCCGGGTTCACAATCGCAATTTTGCAATACTATGAGTGTGGTGGTACTACAAACTGTAAAGAATCAAACCTTGATAGATTTAAATATGGGCTGTAAAGCCTCACGCCAACATTACAAATAGAAGTTTATAATCGATTTCTGAAATTTGTTCACGTGATTTAAGATACGTCCAAGTGAAGTTGTGCATGCAGATAATGTAATTTATAATATAACTCGTATGTAAATTGTGACTGTTGTACTGTGTACTAAAGCTTGACTTTTATAATAGTTACTCGTTGCTAGTAAAGCTGGCTTGATGAATATGAATTAAATGTACTACTACGTACACTTTTTACGCAAACTGTTTCTATCGTGTTAGAGTCCTAATGTAACTGTTAATTATGATAAAGTTGTTTTCTATTACGTAGCTTCTGATTAAAAGTATCCACGTGGACCCATGATTCCAGTTATGTCAAACAAAATACAAATCCCGGTTCTGGGTTGAGTTGAGCCAACGGGTGGGTCTAGGCCACTCGTTAGACTAGGAAACGAAAGGAACGAGGGGTCGATCGTAGTTGTAGCCCTGGTCGGGCACGAACGGCGGCCGGGTCGAGTACGTCACGGGAGGCACGTAGATGTACGGACGCTCGGTCGTCGACACCGGCTGCTGGACGTACACCGGTCTCCTCGTCGTCTGCGGAATGTAGATCAGCGGCGGCGGACTCGTCACCGGCACCGCCGGGACGGGCGAGTACGGGCGCGGTGTCGTCTGAGGAGCGATGAAGATCGGCGGCTGTGTTTGTATAAATACGGGCTCCCGGGTAGTCTGCGGCGCGATGTATACCGGCCGTCTTGTAGTTGTGGGGATCGGGAACGAAGGCTGCGGGTATATCGGAGGGAGAGTCGGAGATGGGCGTGGAGGCACGTAAAGCGGCGGATTAGTCTGAGGTCTCACGGTGGTCGGCGAATACGTGAAGGGGATACGCTGGGTGGTGGGGAATGTGAAAGGAACTTTAGGTTTTGGATAGTCGTACCCTGTTGTTCTGTCGGTGGGACTGACTGTTGAATAAGTGGGAACTGGGGGAGGTCTGGTCGTTGGAGGTGGAGGTGGCGGTGGTGGAGGAGGAGAAGGGCGTCTAGTTGTTGGGGGTTGGTAGGTTGGTGGCGGCGTTGGTGGTGGTTGTGGTGGTCTAGTTGGAAGCGGAGGCAGTGGCGGAAGAGGACGTCTAGTTGTAGGTGGGAGATAAGTTGGTGGTGGAGGAGGAGACGGACGTCTGGTTGTTGGGGGTCGGTAGGTTGGTAGCGGCGGTGGCGTTGGTGGTGGTTGTGGTGGTCTAGTTGGCAGCGGGGGCAGTGGCGGAGGAGGACGTCTAGTTGTAGGTGGGAGATAAGTTGGTAGTGGAGGAGGAGGTGGGCGTCTGGTTGTTGGGGGTCGGTAGGTTGGTAGCGGCGGTGGCGTTGGTGGTGGTTGTGGTGGTCTAGTTGGCAGCGGGGGCAGTGGCGGAGGAGGACGTCTAGTTGTGGGTGGGAGATAAGTTGGTGGTGGAGGAGGAGGTGGCTGTCTAGTTACTGGTGGTAAATAAGTTGGTGGCGGTGGTGGTGGTGGTGGTGGCCTAGTAGGGGGTGGAGGTGGAGGGGGTGGTGGTGGTGGTGGCCTAGTAGGGGGTGGAGGTGGAGGGGGTGGTGGACGTCTGGTAGTTGGTGGAGGTGGAGGAGGTCTAGTGGGATAAGTGAAGGTAAAAGGGGGCGTCGGATATGAATACCCGGTCGTTCTGTAGTTGTCGATTAATGTGCTGTAGGTTGGTGCTCTGGTAGTGGGAGGCGGTGGAGGTGGTCTGAAAAAATTACAAAGTTGTTAAAATGTATTATTATTATTATTTGTTTACGAAATAATATATTTATATTACATCAATATTCCAAAAAAATTTCTAATTAAGTTTTCTCGAACTCATATTACACCCCTGTGGGAATCAATGACAATGGAATCAAGGAAAGCAGTGACAGAATGACGTCAGCGCCGCCGACGTTATCATTATTAACAACAACATGGGGCCAGCCGCGCCGTCATTAGTCGCGCCGTCACAATATAAAGTATTTTTTATATTCTCTAAATTTACGGCAAGCTGAATCGGTAAAAAACGTTTCAGTGTCCTAGGTACTCGAGAAATTCTCCTTCGAGGCGGTGGGCGTAGCGACCTCCGCTCCAGGTTACCGGCGTCCTGGCGAAGGAATAATTCTAGCACAGAGGCTCTAATCTCGGCGTTCCGTGCTGGAGGCCTGAGCTCCGTCGTCTCGCGAACCCATCGGTCGGCTTTTGGATTGTCGAGGCCGTCTGCCCGACCTTCACGGCCTGGGTGGGCTGCGACCGAGGCTGCTTCACCTTCCGACTGAGGCAGGTCCTTAGCAGACTGTTTCAGCCGGCACCTAAATCGAGTCGCCGAGAGGGAACTGACTGCGCAGTTCCACCACTACGAAAACTGCGAGGAGGACACCGCGGAGCATATGCTTGCGCGCTGCATTACCTGGGTGGAGCAGCACGCCATCCTGCTCGCGGTCGCAGGAGAGAACGCGCCCTGGACAGCAATGCCCAACCTCTGCGAGTGCACCATCTTCATGCAGAAGGAGGCGACGGAACGAGAAAGGGAAAGCTGTGCTTTTTCCGCACCGTTCCATCACCGTTGTGCTGGGAGGCGAAGGAAAACGTGCGAACACACCTCTCGGCTCCTGTACGCAGCGTCCTCCCCCCGGTGATGATCACGGGGTGACCTGAGGGGTCAAAGCCGTGCGGGTTGCTACCAATAATCTAACGCGCTGCCCAGAAGTAACATTACCGTGAACAGAGTGACCGGTTGACGGTATAACGCATCCCGAACCAGCAGGCTGGTTCTCATCCAGCGGGATATCCCAGGACACTAGCGGCACTCCCAGGGCGGCCTGACAGGCTTGCGTACCGAAACGGCCGACGTGTTATAGAGCCTTCGATTCACTTCAACGGCTTAGTCGACCGGGTGTTCTTGGGGTGAGCTGCGCTCACTGGTCGTAATGTTGACCGCGGTAACACCCTTACTCCAGTCGGTTTCTGTGTTTAAAGGGGATCGCACGCATGAGCGCGATTGCAGGGGAGTGGTTAGTGGTTAGATCCTTAAATAACATTCTTGGACCTTTTTTTAGCGGTCGCCGCTCCCAATATCTCCGGACCATCCAGACCTATTTATGTATGTAGGCGCAAAGATATCTAAGTTTGGCACTGGGCCGAAAAAGGTGATCGCGAAGTGCCCTAAAATCACTGCAATAAGATGTCGGTTTTTGGTGTCGCTTGCCATTGCTGTACTTTTTTCAGTCTAGGCCCTCTGCACATAAGCAGAGCATGTGTGATCAGGAACTCCATTCAAATAGTATACATTTTACTTTTGTATTATTACCTGGTGGTAGGTGGTGGCGGTGGCCTGGTTGGCGGTGGAGGCGGTGGCGGTGGCGGCCTGGTCGGAGGCGGAGGTGGCGGTGGCGGCCGCCTGGTCGGAGGCGGCGGCGGTGGTGGTGGCGGCGGTCGTCTACTTGTTGTAGAGTAGAATGGTACGCGTGGTGTAGTGTAATAATACCCGGTCGTAGAGGGTACTCGAGGTGCCAAGGTTGTAGAAGGTTTGGTTGGGGGAGGTGGTGGCCTTCTGTTATTATTAAATAATAATTATAACATATTTAACTAGTTAAAGCCTTCGTTAAACAGAACGCGTAATTAGCGCGTCAGAGCGCTAAACTGACGCCGCGCTATGACGCCGAGATGTGTTGGACTACTATGGTAACATACCGTCAAACAAAGCTCCAGCGCTCTAGGTACGCAGCGCTCTGTCGCGGCGTTAGGACGCTCTGACGTCAGACATTGTAATTTTTTACAAATTTTATTTTAGCGTCTGAGTGAATGTGTATTAAAATACTAGATAATGCCCGAAAAAATGATATTAATAGTTAGAAAATACCCATCCTTATACAATGTCACATCTGAATCACTCGATTTCTTAATACTTTTAAATTTTCACACTGCTATCGAAAGGCACTATGATTTGGCGAATGCTCATCTAGTCAATTTGAAGAGCGCGACGTTAAGTACGCGGCGCTAAGTACGCGTTCTGTTTGACGAAGGCTTAAGATGTTAAACTATTTAAGGGTTGGTAAGGTAGGCTTATAATGCAGTTTTCGTGCATTCAGATGTTTTTGTCATGCTTGTTATTGTCATCAAAAATCGTACATTGGCCCTCAGTTGGAATTCATAACGTTGCATAATTATATGGGTGACAGTGTATATTCGCAAGCAGTCCATTGGGCACGGTATATGAACGCCTCTCGATTGTCACTTTCCGTTTACGTTAACTCGCGCTTGGCGGGGCGAGGGCTCGAAATCTAAATTCTTATACCTCCTATTATCTTCTGTTTAAGTTTATTGAAGCATCCAAGACAAACTAGCTAGCTACCTAGCTATGAGCTACTTGAACATCACTGCTTAGTCCTATGGCCGCCGCTGTGGATCCTTACTACACTGGCGTTAAAGTGGTGGGGGAGTAGCGTTATGTTAAAAAAAATGATTAAATAATTTACATACCTAGTTGTAGAAGGTGGTACGTATGGTGGAGGTGGAGGGGATGGCGGTCTCGATGGTGGCGGAGGTGGAGGCCTTCTTGTAGTTGGTATAACAAAAGGTATGCGAGGAGTATCATACACATAACCGGTCGTTTTTGGAGGTGAAGGTGGAGAAGTTGGTGGAGGAGTCCGTGGTGGTGGTGGCGGGGGAGGAGGAGGTGTTCTTGGTGGTGGAGGTGGTGGTGGTGGAGTTCTTGGTGGTGGCGGAGGCGGCGGTGGTGGTGGCGGTGGAGTTCTTGGTGGTGGTGGCGGCGGCGGCGGTGGTGGCGGTGGAGTTCTTGGTGGTGGCGGAGGCGGCGGTGGGAACGGAATGTCCGGCTTAGGATAGAAGTAGCCGTCCTCGTCGAGATTGGCGACTATGGGCGCGCCTACGACGGCATAGTTCTGGTTCGAGTTAGGATAGATGGCACGTTCCAGCCGGTCTGCCTTACAGGTGTGGTACACTGCGAGGAGCACCACTGCAAGGTGCAGTGACAGCCTCTGAAATAAACAACAACAATATTACAATGAGAGCTTGCACTGTCCGGCGGAGTGTGCGTCCGGGAGCCGGCCGCGGGACACGCAGGACTCACACGACTCGGTCCCCAGTACATCACTTTTTCTATCAACTTGATCAGTTTCAACTGTCTGACATGCACAATTAATACATTGTCATTTCGAAGAAACGAAAAAACCACATTTTCTATATATCATCTATATATTTATATTCTAAGTCTGGCCATAAATACTATTACAATTAATAATAAACAAAATATTACATTTGAATTTGAAATCTGTCATTTTTATATGATTGCTCATGAAGTTTTCTCATTTTGGCGCCAATACATTGTACAATATTTTGCGATATTAAAATGGAGTGGGGTGATAAAGAGAACCGAATCGCTGTGATTGCATTACACAAAGTAGGTATGGAGCCAAATGCAATTTTTAAAACTCTCCATACGCGTGGTATTAGTAAAATGTTTGTGTACCGGGCTATTAATAGGTGCAATGAGACCTCCTCTGTTTGTGACAGAAAAAGATCTGGCCGTCCACGTAGTGTTCGTACGAAAAAGGTGGTCAAAGCAGTAAGGGAAAGAATTCGAAGAAATCCTGTCCGAAAGCAAAAGATTTTATCTCGGGAGATGAAGATAGCACCTAGAACCATATCGCGTATTTTAAAAGATGACCTAGGACTTGCAGCCAAAAGAGACGTACTGGTTATTTCTTAACTGATAATTTAAAAGAGAATAGGGTGGTAAAATCGAAACAACTACTGAAGCGGTACGCAAAGGGAGGTCATAGAAAAATTTTGTTTACGGATGAGAATATTTTTACAATTGAGCAACATTTTTACAAACAAAATGACCGTATTTGTGCTCAAAGCTCTAACGAAGCTTCCCAATTAGTCGACAGAGTGCAACGTGGCACTATCCGACTTCAGTGATGGTTTGATGGGGTATTAGCTATGAAGGAGTGACTGAGCCATACTTTTGTGAAAAAGGTATCAAAACATCGGCACAAGTGTATCAAGATACCATTCTTGAGAAGGTAGTGAAGCCCCTTAACAACACCATGTTCAATAATCAAGAATGGTCCTTCCAGCAAGACTCGGCGCCAGGTCATAAAGCTCGGTCTACGCAGTCTTGGTTGGAAACGAACGTTTCGGACTTCATCAGAGCTGAAGACTGGCCGTCGTCTAGTCCCGATCTTAATCCGCTGGATTATGATTTATGGTCAGTTTTAGAGAGTACGGCTTGCTCTAAACGCCATGATAATTTGGAGTCCCTAAAACAATCCGTACGATTGGCAGTGAAAAATTTTCCCATGGAAAGAGTGCGTGCTTCTATTGATAACTGGCCTCAACGTTTAAAGGACTGTATTGCAGCCAATGGAGACCACTTCGAATAAGCTTTTTATACTTTAAATTGTTTTATATTTATGTATTAAACTAACACACTGTAAAATTAATAAATGTTATTTACAATAGAATTTTTTTTCCTTTATCTCAGTATTTATGGCAAGACTAGGTATATAAAAATGAATTGCTGTTCGTTAGTCTCGCTAAAACTCGATAACGGCTCGACCGATTTGGTTTTAAATTATTTGTGGAAGTCCAGAGAAGGTTTAAAAGGTAAATAAATATGAAAATGCTCGGAATTAAATGAAAATGACAATTGTGTTTTCCATTTGTTGTGTCCCCCGTCGGACGGATTCCTTTTACGTCTTTTATTTATCGATTGAGGCACTACGAAGTCTGCCGGGTCAGCTAGTTTAACATATTTATTTAATCAAAATATCTACCATTATTATTTATACATTGCTGCCATCTAATAGGAAGGTAATTTATGCCTTTGCGATAGAACTCTAGTGATCTAGATTGTACAAGCTGTGTGTGTTGTACTACTTCCTGGGAAGAAAACTTTTAATCACTTAGACAATTGTCCAAATCACGAAAAAAATGGTAGTCCGTTGGAACAAGGTCTGGCGAATACGGAGGGTGACGAATGGTTTCTAATTGCAGTTCCTGTAGAGTTAAAAGGGTTTCTCGTGCTGTATGAGGTCTCGCGTTATCATGGAGTAATAATGGTAAAGATCGATTCATGAGTCGGGGCTGTTTCATTGCAAGTTTTGCTGTAGACATCTGGCGTTGCTTGACGAGATCGGAGAAAGCTATAGTGAATAATACCATGCTGAGACCACCAAACAGTTACCATTACCTTTTTATTGGTAAGCTTTGCGTTGGGACACTGTTGCGACGCTTGAACATTGCATTTTTCGCTTAAGGTTATTAGGTGTAAAGAATCTACTTTTCATCACATTTCACAATTCCATCCAATATTGTTTCATTTCTGTATCGATTTAACAAGGCAACACAAGTTTCAACACGCGTTTTTTTTCTGCAGATCATAGGTACTCATTTTTCATATTTTTTTAATTTGGTGATCTGACGCAAATGAGGCAATATTATTGGTAAGGGAACGTTGAATCATGCCGCTAATTCCTGGGTAGTTTGGCTCGGATCGGCTTCCACCATCTCTTTCAATTCATTGTTCTTCACATATGTGGGAGATCTTCCAGGTGGTTCGTTCTTCAAATAAAAATTTCCATCATGAAAACGTTTAAGCCACAATTGCACGGTGCGTTCATTAGCAGTCCCCTCTCCAAGCGCAACATTGATATTTCTAGCTGTTTCTGCAGCGTTAGTTCCGCACCGGAACTCGTATTCAAAAATCACTCGAATTTTCTAAGTATCCATCTTTCTTGTCTAAGCTGAATAAAAAAATCAACTGAAAGTCGATAATCAAATGTGGCACATTTTTTTAAAAGAAGAACCTCATAGGTACCATTTGAAAAAAGTTTCACTCAAAAATCTCAAACCATAAAGGTTTTATGTCAATTCGAAGTACCTGTTACAATAAAATGGCAGTTTCATACTTTAACCCCTATTATATCGAGAATTACACTAAAGCCCTTCAATAGTTAATAAACAAACAAAGAAAAATAAAATTGATGCAAACAGGGGAGGACATAGTAAGTACTTAATATTGGCCTGTTTGTATTAGGAAAGGGTATTTATTACAAGTCGGAACGTAGTTACACTGTCAGCTATTTAAATCACGTAAACATTCAAAAATCTATTGTGGTAATTAGTAGTTTCATTCAAAAGAGAGTTTTCTCTTCACACCCTCGACGACAGTCCAGTCCTGATATTTATATATCTTTTTAGTTTAAGATATTTCTTTTTGAGCGGCTCATTTCAATGGAACGCTAATTGCAGTTTTCAGCTCGATAAACCCCATCTTTTAAATAATAATTTCGAACACTCTAAGCAAAATTGATGCGAATCCACGCCTGTTGTCCATTAGGCCACATATCTGTTAGGTGGAATATTTCTTTATAGCTTGTAAGTTTTTTTTTTATAATAACGCCACCGTGCGTAGCGTTATGCATAAGACATTAACATATAAAATGCAGGTCAAGGTCAACGTTCGTTCCTTGTACTTCAATAAATTTAGCTAATATCTTATTTTTTTTTTTATTTATTTATTTATGTACACACAGAAAACAAGACACAGTACAGAGTAATAGGAAAATTATGTACAAAGGCACTGCTTATTTCTTTGAGAAATCTCTTCCAGCAGACCTGCGAGAGGATAATGAGAATAATAATATCTGTGATATATATCTGAATAATATCTGTGAATAATATCTGTGATAAGAAATCCCACATATATCATTATATCTGAACTAGTTTCTTTCTTTATATTGTATAAAGAGAATTTCTACTCTCTTTTCATTAAAATATTATCTCAGTAGGTATTCATTGTTATATCACATCAAAATTGCTATTAATATTTAGCAGGCGTGCCGATAAAATTAAAATTTTTAAAGTATCATTTTAATTTTGGTTTTGCATATTATTATTATTATTGTACGATTATGATACACGGATCTCCTAGTGTGCTTAGTGAAATCCATAGATACGACCTGGGCGCCGTCGTCCCCATTCAGCCACAGGCCAGAGCCGTCAGTCGCACTAATAATGACATTGTATGATTTGGTCGCTTTGGATTATAAATATTTAAATAATTAGATAATTGTCCCACCTGGTGCTTGTGTGTACAGCTCACGTACACGCGATGTTTGATAATACGTTAATACGTTATTAATAAAACAGTTACGTTTTGTGGAAGCGGCTCAAGGTACTCCGGTCGCGCGCCGCTCGGAGCGTCTTCGAGATGATCGAACCAGAGGGCCGCGACTACCCTCACACCGCACACACGCCGCACGGGTCTCGGCTCTCAAGGGGAATGGCGGCACTCACATTACGATGTCCATAGGTTCAAATAACCACTTAACACCAGGTGGGTCGTGAGATCGTTCACCCGTGCATTTTATATAATCCATTAGGCTTTGTCCGCGAGTTCGTCCGCGTGAAATTGTTTACTTTTCAATAAATGGGCTATCTAACACTGAAATAATTTTTCAAATCGGACCAGTAGTTCCTGAGATTAGCGCGTTCAAACATACAAACAAAACTCTTCAGCTTTATAATATTAGTATGGATAATACAAACAGATGAGATTAGGATCAGCAATCTGAGGCTTTTAAACCTTTTCTGGACTTCCACAAATAATTCAAGACCAAAATTAGCCAAATCGGTCCAGCCGTTCTCGAGTTTTAACGAGACTAAAGTACAGCAATTCATTTATATATTATATAAGTATATATATAGATATAGATTATTTGGTATTAGTATAAACAATTCGATGTTTTTTGAATTCCAATTATGTTTTCCCTGTTCAAATTTATTAAAGTTTATTGCCCTGTAAAGTTGTCTCACGGTCAGAAACGCTTACATTCGATTTTCAATTGATTAATTCCGTTTGCACAATATTCCTCATTTTGTATTGTGCGTGGACACAGCTCCATAACACAATATTGTCTAGGTACTTAAACAAGTTGTAAGTAATTGATAATTGTTTTATAATCGACGA